TCCTTCAATTGGTACGGTGAGCAGTGTTCCTGTGGCCGGTGGACGACGCCTGCTTTTCAAATACATAAGAACAGAGTAGATGAAATGAAAATACTGCCCCTTCTTGGATCACAAGCAAGAAAAACATAAACTTTTTTTAAAAACTGATTTTGATGACTGACTTAAAAACAAACTTTATTATATCTGATACCTTTGTTCATTACTATTCATCATAAACTTTTGAATTTATAGGCAACCACAATTTTTGATTATATTTGCACTGGAATTGGCGTAAGAAAATACATCCCTTCATGTGGTCTGCCTCATTATATTCTCTTTCTTGGTCATGGATACAGAATGTGCCAAATGCATCTAAGTGGAATAAATTAAAAAGGAATTAAGGTATTCTTTAGACACTTAAAGCATGTGAGTGTGTATATGAACATATACGTATGTATAAGTGTGCATATGCAGTTTGGTATTAAAACTCCTATATTGTCCAGATACTTCGGTGTTTATGTGTGGTTTTTAAAACTAGTCTTCATTTGTGAAATGTTAGTATTGCATCTTCACTTGACTTATGGTCTGATGACTAAATTGACAAAATCCACCTACTAAATTTGAAAACTGCTATATGTTTATAAGTATTTATTGATTTACTGAGGCTTAACAAAATTACTTTTTTTTGATGATAAAATTCAAGTTTTACTTTTGTTCTTATTACATTTTCCAAATGTACCCTGAGAACAACTCAGCAAAATAACCCAGTACAAAAGGCATCAACATTTGAATATTTCTCTTTAAAAACCCCAGCCAAATATTAAGAAGTGGAGATTTGAGGGAAGATAAATGATCCCCTACCAGAAAAGATGTTAATTCATATAAGGTTTCACAGGAGTTTAATACAAATGGCTCTTCCTTTCTAATTTGATGTCCTTTGTCCTCAAGTGATCCTTCTTTACCTGTTAATTTCTGAAATAGCATATAAATAAAAACTGATTTCATTCCTTAATCTCTGTTGTTTGTACTAATTCAGGTCAAATATTTTGCTTATTTCAGGATTTCTTTTTAGAAATTCTTCAAATGCCTCTTTTTTATGGAAGATAAAATTTTCTTCATTGATGATTAGACTAAACTTTGAAGGATATAGTATTCTGGGTTTTAACTAAAGTTCCTTAGCTTTTTAGAATATATGATTCCATTCTCTCCTCTGATTTCTTGTTTCTGTAGAGTAATACTCCGTTATAAGAACTGTATTCCTCTATATTTAAACATCTTTTTCCTGGATGCTTTCAGAATTTGTTGTTTATTACTGAAATTGTGAAATGTAATGATCACATGCCTTGGAGTATTGAGCATCAAAATTACTCTTGTGAAAAGCAAAGTTTTAAATTTAGTTCCTTCTTAAAATTTTAAAAGATCCCTAAACAAGTATAGCTAGCTATCTTTTCTTGGACATAGGGAATAACTTCCTTTATGCTCATATTCTTTCAGCATTTATCTCTTGGGGAATGGCTCTTAATTTTATAAATTTAAATCAGTACCTTGTAAAGGGGCAGATTGGTAGTACAGTGGATAGAGCTCTGGCCTTGAAGTCAGGAAGATCTGAGTTCAAATGTGGCCTCAGACATTTACCAATCTCAGACATGCAGATGATTTTACTCTGATGGCAGAAAGTGAAGAAAAATTAAGAAGCCTCTTGATGAGGGTAAAAGAGGAGAGTGTAAAAGTTGGCTTTAAGCTTAACATCAAAAAAACTAAGATCTTGGCAGCTGGTCACATCACTTTCCGGCAAAGGAAGAAGGAGAAGAGGAAGAAAGAGGGAGAAGAAATGGAAGCAGTGTCAGACTTTATGTTCTTGGCCTCAAAGGTCACTGCAAGACAGTGACTGAAATCACGAAATTAAAAGATGTTTCCTCTTTGGAAAGAAAGCTATGGCAAATCTAGATGGCATACTAAAAAGCAGAGACGCCTTGATGATAAAAGTCTGTATAGTCAAAACTATGCTTTTTCTAGTAGCAGTGTATAGCTGTGAGAGTTGGACTATAAGGAAAGCTGAGTGCTGCAGAATCAATGTATTTGAATTGTGGTGCTGGAGAAGACTTTTAAGAGTCCCTTGGACAGCAAGGAGATCAAATAGGTCAATACTTAAAGAAATTAAATTAGACTATTCAACAGAAGGTCAAATACTGAAGCTGAGGCTTAAGTACTTTGTTCACATGATGAGAAGGTAGGAAAAGACTCTGATGTAGGTAAAGACTGAAGGCAAAAGGAAAGGGAATGGCAGAGGATGAGATGGATAAGTAGTATCATGGAAGCAATGAACTTGAGCTTGGACAGATTTTGGGAGATAGTTCAAAGCAGGGCAGCTAGGTGGCGAAGTGGATAGAATGCCAGGCCTGGAGTTAGACTTATCTTCCTGAGTTCAGATCTGGCCTCAGACACTTACTAGCTGTGTAACCCTGGGCAAGTCACTTTGCCTCAGTTTCCTCACCTGTAAAATGAGCTAGAGAAGGAAATGACCAACGACTCCAGTATTTTTGCCAAGAAAACCCCAAAGGGGTCACAAAGAATTGAATAAAGACTGGACAACAACAAAGTGTGAAGTATTGTGCCAATCCTTAGGAATACAAATAGAAAAGCAAGATAGTCCCTGATCTCAAGAAGCTTACATTCTAATTGCAGGAGACAACACATATGAGAGGTTTCATCTGCAAATCAAATGGAAAGGAAAGGCCTTTGTGATCCTTAATGTCAAAAGGCAAAGCAGGTGGTAAAAGACTATATAGATTTAAATAATTGGAGAAGTATTTGTTGTTCACGAGTAGTAAAACCAATATAATAAAAAATGACAATTTTGCCTATTTATTTAGTGTTATCCCTATTAAGTTACTAAAAATTATTTTACTGAGTTAGAAAAAGTAAAAAATCAGTTGGAAGAACAAAAGGTCAAAAATTTCAAAGAAACAAAGAAACTTTACTAATGTAAAGGAAGGAGATTCTACAGTACCAGACCTTAAATTATATTAGAAGGTAAGAGCATTGTTGAAGTGTAAAATGGATAGTTTAGATTATTTTAAATTAAAATTTTCTTTTACAACTAAAACCAATGTAGCCAAGATTAGAAGGAAAGCAGAAAACTGGGGGAAAAACTTTCATAGACAATCTCTCAGATAGGATATGATTATGATATAGGATATAGGATATGATGACTGTGATATAAAAAATGATGAGCTAGTTGATTTAGAAAAACAAGGAAAGACTTGAACATGTGAAAGACGATGCTATCCATCTTCAGAGAAAGAACTGACATAAATATACATGGTATGGTCTTATATATATGTATATGTGTGTTTATGTATACATGTGTATGTTTATAGATATGTATGTATATGTATATATAGAGAGATGTTTAATTGTGGGGGAGGAAGGAAGGAGAAAAATAAAATAAAAGTACACAGCAGAGAACAAAAAGAAAAGCTAGAAGGAAGCATGGAAAAGCTGGGTAGCTTTGAAAACTGTAGGATTCATGACAGGTTTTTGTGAAATGGAAATTTATTGTTTTATATGGAATCTCATTCTGTGTACATGAAAATGTTTTTTTTCTTTTTTTTGTTTTGTATTTAAGTTTAAAATGAAAAAAAAGAAACAATAAAAATTATTACCAGAAAAAAATATTAACATTTGTTGTTACATTACTACATACAAAGCCCAGTACTCTGCTCTGAGGGGTGTTCAGATGTATTTCACCACCATTTTGTATGTGTAACTGGGAGGGCAGGAACTTAAAATATTAAAAAAATTCCATATCAAACTCTTATCAGGCTCTGGAAAGATGATGATAGAAGGAGAAATATTTAAAAATAAGTGATTTCCAGAATTCAGTACAGGCTCTGATCACAAAAGTTGTTTTCATAGGTTGTATTATGTAATTTGCTGTAATCACCTAGCCATGTGGAGCGTAGGGGAATTCTGAGAACTGCTTACACCTCCTCCCCACCTCCCCAGATTTCTGCTTGGTCCTAGAGAGCTCCCGTTCTTAACTTCCATTTAGCATTAGCGAATACCCTTTAACATTTTTGAAAAGACCCTATCTCATTTCTTGAATCAGCTTTTATTCAACTAGAGTGTTAAGTTTTATTTAGAGTTTGTTGTTAGTGTAAATCTTTCTAAAACTTGTTCTTGATCCTGGAAAGGAAACCAAGATTTGTTTAAGGTGAACTTCAGTAAAAAATGATGGATTGATTGATTTTTGTTACTTTTGGAAGCAGAATCTCTCAGGTTTTCTGCACTTCATGTTTTAGGGTATTATTTCTAGTGGGTACATATCCAAGGAACTTATTTCTAAGGGAGAGAGTTCGTACAAACACCTTCGCTTTCAACGTTTTATTGCCTGCTGCAAATATCGTGCGGGAAAGATGACAGTATCCAGTAAGGTGACGGCGACAATACTAGATACTTTATACATTTTTATGTGTGCGTGGACAGATCAGTCTTTTATACGGTAGACAAGCATCTTCTTCTGAAATCAAATCTGTTCCTTAATCTAGGACCTCCAACCGAACAAGCCCAGCTGTTTTTGATAGGGGTTTGATTCACACGACCGGATGCCCCTGCTTTGAGTGCCTTCTGTGTGCCAGGTCCTGGAGAGACCCGGAAAGGCAAAGGCTAGCCCGGTGCTCCCGTAGCTCGCGGTCGGATGGGGCAGGTGGCATGCAAACCAAACCGGGCAATGACGCGTACCCGGCGTGGCTGGGCTGGGATCGCCGGAGCTCGCGCACTACCAGCGAGAAGTGCGCAGGAAAGGGTAGGCAGGAAGCACGCCGCGCAGCCTTCTGCCTCGAGGGGGCGCTGCCGGAGGAGGAATCCGCTGGGGCTCTAAGCTTGGGCCCCGCCCCCCTGGCCCGCCCCTAGCCCGGCTGCTTGGCCTCCAGCCGGCGTTGCGTTGCGTTGCGTAGCGTTCGCGGTCGGGCGATGAGGTAGTTTGTCCTTTTGCGGCCCCCGTCTCGGGCAGTGTGTTCAGTGTGTTGTCGGTACCTCGCTGCGTCCCGGACATTAGTCACGGAGTTTCTGGGGAAGGAGACGTGTAGCTAAGGAGGCGTGTGTGGGACACCGCCACCTCGGGGGCCATGGAGCCGCCTTTTAGCCCGAGCCGGCCCGTCTCTCAGAGCCTGGATGTGGACTGGGGTGAGTGGGGCTGGACGCGGCTGGGGTTTGGGGAGTGGGACGCTGCGCCCACGCGCGGTGACAGGTGTCAGAGGAGGCCCGGCCTGGAGCCAGGCCTCCCCTCTCGCCCGGGGAGCTCGGGTCTGCTTGGCCCCCTCCCGGGGGGACCCCACGCTCGGCGCCCCTTCACTGGCAGAAAAGCTGGAGAGCCAAGGTCCGGGTGGGGGGCAGCCCCGAACCCCAAATCCTGCCTGCGGGGGTGGGGTGGGACGCGGGGGGCCCTGCCAGTGTGTGCGGGTGTGGGTGTGTAGGAGTGTGTATGTGTGTGTCTGAGTGTGAGTATGTATGTGTGTATGAGAGCGTAAGTATGTGGGGGTATTTGAGAGTGTGTATATGTGTGTGTCTGAGTGTATCTATATTCGACAGTATGGCTGTCAGTATATTTGTGAGTGTGTGTATGTCTGAGTGTGAGTATGTATGTGTGTATATGACTGTGTATGTGTGCCGCTGTATACGAGTGTGAGCATGTGTGAGTTTATGTGGTG